CATATAAGTAGCAGAAACTAAGTTGTGGTTCTTATTTGCAAAGAAAGAAATGGTTCTTATTTAAGCAGAAGATAATTTCATTGGAAAAAGTTCAGGCAATCAACAGGAGGATTAGAGGAGCAGGCTTGGACAGTAATCAAGGAAAGTAAGGCTGAGTCTAGATCCTACCATGGGGATGGAATGTTTACAATGCAGGTGTCATTGGCACTGGGCGCTACTACCACTAGATGCTCCTGCCATTGGTGTTCACCTTCTGCCACTAGACTCTCGACTCTACCACAGCCACCACAGCCACCAGAAGTAACACAAGACACCTTTGCATCATTCCCTCAAGATTTACCTGTAATCCAGAAGTTGAGGCAGAAAAAAAATGGAGTGTTCTAGGCCAGCCCAGGCCACACAACATATTTCAGCCAATCCTGTGTTCATGGCAAGGCCTTACAAATTAAACCTATCTGCAACCAACCAAACACCTTCAAATTCCAGGTTACAGCTTGGTATTAGTCACTCAGGTGTTCAGATCACAGGCTTATATTCTAGCTGTTAGTAGAGGATTCTCAGAAAAGTAGGTTACATAAATTGGATGAAGACAAGCCCTTTTTAGGGGCATCTCATCTATTGACGTATTTTGCTTGGCACAGTGCCTTTGGCAGGACTTTAAGTGTCCGTCTAGCTTTAAAATGCTACTAGAGAACAAAAATGCTACTAGGACTATGGAAGTTTGAAGCTGGTTTAAGTTTACCTAGTAGGAAAAGACAAAATGCATACCACACACTGTTGTTGGAATTGCGGTCCAGCCAGGACCTGTGGCTCATGCCTGTAATCCTAGCTACTCAGGAGGCTGAAACCAGAAGTGGTGCTGTGGCTCAAAGTGGTATTGCACTAGCTTTGAGGGAAAAAGCTCCAGGACAGAGCCCAGGCCCTGATTCAAGCCCCACAACTGAGGGGGGATAAAAAGACAGGTCAAACTGCAAGCGAACCAGAAAGAACTGCAATCAGAGAATAAGCCAAGAGATGAGCAAAGCAGATGCCAAAGCAAAGATTAGATTGCTAGAAACAAATGAGGGAGAGCAAGCACAAAATGCAGCTCAAAAGTTGTAGAAGTCGGGCTGGGAAGGTGGCTCAGTGGTAGAGCGCTTGCCTTGCATGCCTGAGGCCCTGGGCTCGATTCCTCAGCACCACATAAGTAAAAAGAAAAAAGCCGGAAGTGGCGCTGTGGCTTAAGTGGTAGAGCGCTAGCCTTGAGCTGAAGAGCTGAGGGACAGCGCCCAGGCTCAGAGTTCAGGCCCCACAACTGGACCAAAAAACAAAAAAAAAAAAAACAAAAAACCCCAAAAAGTTGTAGAAGTCAAAAAGTTAAAAAACTAGAGAAAGCAACCAAAGACAGTAAGACGCAGTATATTTACTGAAGCTCATGTAAGATTGCCAGTTGTGACTTCTATCCACTGCAGGATACATCCTTATAATTAATGTGGTTCTCTTAGATGGCCTTTGCCTCACTGAGAGGACAGGTAGTAAAAACTGTAACCTGTGAGCCCCAGTCCTCAAAGCAATGTCAAGAAATTGGTGAGTTAGTGCACTGCTTCATTGAGCTTAGAATTATGAGCCTAACACTCAAGAAATACTTTTCTTTGCCTAATCTTTCAAACTTTGGAAGGTTCCTTATCTTTGTCTAATTGGACTCAGGGGTGGCAAAACCAGGGTGAAAGGTAGTTTGACAGGCTTGATGGTTGGAATAATTGATAAGAAGCAACCTTGTGTGAGGCAGCAGGGGGACCAGGAAGAGAAAAATCACTATCTCAGCCTCAGGAAAGAAAGAGCAGCAGTGATTCACTCATTGACAGCAAGTGGAAGTTTATCCTAAACAAAACATTTCCTAGAAGAATCCGAGGTTCAAGGGTGATTATAAATGGACATCAGCTCAACTTCCACCCAGTCCTTCAAAGCTCTTGCCAAATAATTTAAGCACTAACAAATGAAAGCATCTCTTTGTAAGGACCTAACATAAATAAACTGTTTAACTTTATCCTAGCCTTCTTGTTTGGTTTTGTCTTTCAGGCCAACTTTCATAGGGGTTTCAGGACAGATCCCTTATCAATGCTCTTAATATAGAGTCCAGACCTCTTATTGCACAGCAGAGAAACAGACACAGCAGTCACTTGTTCATTTCACAATAAAGGGATTTTCAATTTAATTTTTTTTTTCTGTCAGTCTTGGGGCTTGAATTCAGGGCCTTGGCACTATCCCTGAGTTTTTTTGTTTTTGTTTTTCTCAAGACTAGTGCTCTACCACTTGGGCCACAGTTCTACTTCTGGCTTTTCTGGTGCTTAATTGGTTTGTTTGTTTTTGGGTCTGGTTCTGGGGCCTGAACTCTGGGCCTGGGCGCTGTCCCTCAGCTCTTCAGCTCAAGGCTAGCACTCTACCTCTTGAGCCACAGCACCACTTCTGGCTTTTTTTCTTTTTGCTTATGTGGTGCTAAGGAATCGAACCCAGGGCCTCAGGCATGTAAGGCAAGCACTCTACCACTGAGCCACCTTCCCAGCCCTTTGGTGCTTAATTGGAAATGAGAGTCTTATAGACTTTCTTCCTGGGGCTGGCTTTGAACCACAATCCTCAGCTCTCAGCCTCCTCATAAGCCACAGACACTAGTCAATAATTTTTATTATATCAATGAGACTTCCTAGATTTTGTTTTCTTATTTAAAAATTTTAAATATCTTTGGAGATAAATGAGTTATTAAATATAAGGTTGAAAACTTATCAGGTTATTTACAGACCAAAACTCAGTATTTGATATTAAATAGTCCAAAAAAAAAAGGTCAGGGACTGATGTAATAATAAAAAAAAAAGATTAAGAATAACCATGAGAGCAGGAAGCCAGTGGCTCATGCCTGTAATCCTAGCTACTCAAGAGGTTGAGATCTGGGGCTCATGATTGGAAGTAAAACGAGTCAAGAAAGTCCATGAGGCTCTTATCTCCAAGTTACCATCAAATAGCCAGAAGTGGAGCTGTGGCTCAAGTGTTAGAGGGCTAGCCTTGAGCAAGAGAGCTGAAGGTTAGCACCCAGGGCCTGAGTTCAAATCCCAGGATTGGCACACACACATATATTCACATACCAAAAAACAACAACCGAATGGAAAAAAAAATGAAGAAAAGTAAATTCAACAAGGCAGTATAAGGTATAACTTGTGAGCTTTCTGAGACTTTCTCAACTTTAAGTCTTCATAGCCAGGTACCAGTGACTCACACCTATAATCTTAACTACTCAGAAGGCTAAGATGCAAACATCTCTGTTCCAAGTCAGCCTGATGAAGACAAACCTGCAGACTCTGACCTTCAATTCACCAGAAAAACTGGGGCTTCTAATAAGGCTCAAGTGGTAGACCACAAATGCGGAGAGAGCTGGAGGCTTCGAGTTCAAGTCCCAGCATTTGTAGCCCCAGCATTTGTACCAATTAAAACAAAAAACAAAACCACCAGAACTACAAAGAGAACAAATTGGGATAAATTATTTTACTAGAATTTAGGAAAATAAAAATATTTATTTTACTTAGCAGTTCAGAAACCACAAGGACTTTTCATATGGATATAAGCCCCCTAAAATTTCAGAATTCAAGATACCCATGGCAAAATAAAGCTCATTCTGTGTCACGTGCGTGTTTTTGTTAACATGGAAGCCTATAGGGGACTTTGAGTTCATTTAATCAACTGAAGAAACATTTTTCTCTGAACCCTTCTGTGTATTTTCTCAAATTCCTAGAATACCAGAATACTGACAGATGATTGTGTCATAGCTTGTTTGTTGAAGATGACTCTGAATTTCACTAAAACCCACAAAGGAAACCAACAATCCCACATGAATACTCCGATAACCCCACCAAACAGGAAATAAAAAGTGAGGGGAGAAGCGGGGGGGGGGGACTCAGAGTGTGACAAAGCAGAAGTTAACTTTAGCACAACCGCAAGGGTCAGAACATCTCCACACCCCCCTCCTTTACCCCCATTCTCTTGTACCCTCCCTTTTTCGGCATGGAAAACAGGAGAGGTGCACAGGATCCAGTGGACCACCATTCTAGTTCGGGCTGCTCTACTTTGGGGCCCCCACAGCTGTCAAGCCCCAGTTGCCTCCCTGGAAGAGAGCCAGGATCCTCCATGACTACCCGGTGGCCAAGACAAGTCAAAGCCACCACTCCTGGGAGGGCTGCCAACAGAACTGCGCTTCAGCTCCCCTCCCTCCCGGCAAGGCTGGTTCGACCCACAAGTCAACAGGAAGCTCCCGGGGCAGGGACAGGATCCCGGCCTCGGAAGGAGGCCAGACTCCAGCGCTTCTGGACGGCGACCAGGGTGGTGAGGCGGCCGTGGGCGCCGCCTCCCCGGCCCCGGCGCCGCGAGCTGACAACCACCGACGGGCGACAAAGGGCGCGGAAGCAGAGCGCTCCGAGAGCCAGCACCCCAAATCCCCCGGACACCCGAAGCCCCGAGCCCTGGACGGCGGAGGAGCGCAGCGCCCCGGGCGGCGGGAGCCGCGCGCCCCACTCTCCCGCCGCGGCGCTCGCGGGCTGAGAGGCGCCTCCCCCACCACACACGCTCCCACGCCCCCACAGCCGGCGCCGCCTCGGGAGTACGCCCCGGACCCTGCCGCCATGTTGGGTCGGCACGAGTGACACCGCCTCGCAGCCGACCTCCCCCCCACCCCACCCCGGAGCGCAGAAGAGCCAGAAGGGCGCGCGGAGCGGCGGGAAGCGCCAAGCTGCCGAAGCCGGAAGGCGCTGGAGGCGCGCGCGCGCGCCGCATGAGTTCCGGTGAGCGGGCGTCCCGCGCAGGTAGCCGCAGCCCCCGCCCCGCCCTCGCTCGCGTCGCCCCCGCCCCGCCCTCGCGGAGGGCGCAGGGGGCGTGGCCTGTGGGAGGGGCGGGGCTTGGAGCTGCGGGGTGGGGGAACCCGGGAATTCCCTCCTCCTGAAGGAAGGCGTCCCGGGCCGGCTCCGCAGTCTTCCCTGCCGCCCGCCGCCCCTCGCCCCACGCCCCGCGCCCAGCGCCGAGGAGGTGGACGAGGTGGAGGAGGGAGAGCAGGAGGGCCTCGCGGGCGTCTCCTCCGCCCGCCGCCCCCTCTCCGTCCCCGCCGGAGGCGCGGCCACTGCGACCCATGCGAGCGCGGCCGGAGGGCAGGTAAGGACCCCGGGCGCGGCCCCGCGGGCGGGGACCGCCGACCCCGCTCCCGGCTGCGCTAGGCCCCGGCGCCGGGCACCGGGAAGACGACTCCGCGACCGTCTCTCCTCGCTGGCTCCGAGTCGGGAAGTTGGGGAGAAACTTCTCCCCTCCCCCGGCCCGGCGGGCGTGTCGCCTCTGTCCGCGTTACCTGCTCGCCCCTGCCGTGGTCCCCGCCCCAGCTCGGCTTCCCGGTCCCCGCCCGAGTCCGCCTGCGGGCTCGCGCCGTGTCCTTCGGGGCTTCGTGTGCCCACCCCACCCCCGACGAGGGGTGTGTGTGTGAGTGTGTGTGTGTCGGGGGGGGGGCTAGCCTTAATTTTTGGTCCCCGATCCCGAGCGGGGGGTCGAGGGGAGCGGCTCCTTTCCGCCCGTAGAGAGGACGGAGGTCCGCGGGCCGCCGGACTCCGGTGGCCACGGTACCGGGCTTGGGAGGACGAGGGCGCGGGGGCGAGCGGGGGAGCTCGGGGCAGCCCCGGGTTTGATTGAAAACCGCAACATGTTTAAAAGTTTTCCTTTGTTTTGCCTGGGGGTGGGGAGATCCACCCTTCCGCGGCCACTTGTTCGGTACCGGCTGCTCCACCTCCCCTTGGATTCGGTTTCTGTCTACATGTGTTCAAGGAAATTTGGTTTTAAAACTCGTGTGTGTGTGTGTGTGTGTGTGTGTGTGTTTTCTTGGTAATTGCTTCCAGCTTGTGCTTTATGGGGCAGAAGGCAGAGTTTTAAGAAGCTCTTGGAAAATCGTGTCTGGTTGGAGGGATGGCTTTAGTTTTTGTTTTGTGAGTGGGATGCGGCGTAGTTCAGCCTTGGTTATTTTCTGCAAAATTCATGGAACCAGTCATGCAATAACAGACAGTCTGATCACTTATAAGCCGTTAAATAAATGAGACGTCTTCTAGTAGCTCTAAAGCCTTCCCTCCATGCCATTTATTTTGTATGTCCTCTCATGGGGGTTTTCTCCTGGGTAGGATGTGTGCTGTGGTAGTATGTACATGCATTGTTGTGCTAAAAGTGTTTATTCTGTTAACTTCCTAAAGCTAAATTACACACTTAGGAAAATATTGCTAAATGTGGGTATGTGACTGCATTCACGGCAAAATACGTATTAAATCTAGTATATCAACCAACACAGTGCTTAGCACACAGCAGACAGGAAACATTTTGAATGGATAGATAATAAAGGAATGTCATGGCTCTTCTGTTCATCACATGTATTAATACATTATACTCTGAGACAAAGTTATGTTTCACCAAGGCCTATTTTTTTTCTTAAAATATGTGAGAACCCTGCCATATCTACATTGAGTTGTATCTGAATTTTTAGTCGCTCTTGAACCTCTGAAGAATTTACATGCTTGTTGACACAGAGGGTCCTGAATTTGAAAGAAAAAACCCAACCAATTGCTTTTGGTCGAAATCTTAAATACAAGACTGTTCATATACATGTTTCCAGGATAAAAGATAAAAGGCCTCTTAAAATATGTACTTAGCAGTAACTACCATAATGTTATAATAACTTTAATTTTCCAGTTAGTTTTGCTGACTTCATAAACCACAAAATTGACTCCTTTCAGTTCCACCGAAATGAAATTACAGCTTTAATCTACCTTCCTGGGATAGGTGGAATTTGTCTTATGGTCAAAGTATATATAATATTAATACATTGTTGGGAAAAAATGCCTAGTTCAGGAAATTCTGAACTGAAAAAAATCAGTTTACGCAAATAAAATTGTATTTTATTGTATGTAGTGGTAAAAGAATAACTATACTAAAGAAATAGCAGTGACCTGATATGAATGAAATACTACCAACCTAACTTGTTTATTCATGGTCCATTTGCATGGATTTTTAAGCTGTACATATTTTTATATGAGTAATTTTTGCTTAAAATACATAAGTTGGGCACTGGTGGCACAAGCCTGTGCTACAGCTACTCAGAAGGATGAGATCTGAGGATCACTGCTCAAAGCCAGCCTAGGCAGGACAGTCTGTGGGACTCTTATCTCCAACTAATCAGCAAAAAACAAGAAGCGGAGATAGAACAAGAGGTAGAACACCAGTTCTGAGTGAAAAAGTTAAGTGAGACCTTGACGCCCTGAGTTCAAGCTCTAGCACGCACGTGCACACACACACACACAAACAAAACACAACAAATATATTTAGTTCAATCTAGGAGTCATTTCAGTGGACATCTCTTATTAGTCTCATTAAGAAAGAAGCCTAGTCAAAAATTTTGAAAAGCTTTGTTAAGATTTGATGTCAAAGAATACAAACTTAGGTGGTAAGACTATATTAAGAAAAAAAAATCTGCAGGGAAGTGATTTCATTAAAAGATATGGTTGGAGGGAGAAGGCTGTGATTGCTACCTTGCTTCTGAAAGTGGTAGCAGGCAGGCCCCTCTCCCCATTTGTTTTTTAACCTACTTGTGATCCAGTGGATTTGGCCTTAGTGTATGTTGAATATCTCTTATGTGTGATTTCCTGTATATGAGTTTTCTTTTATGTGAAATTTTTCTTTAAAGAATGTTATGTGTAATGTATATGAGATTCTTTTTTTTTTATTGTGAAAATACCGTACAGAAGGGTTACAATTACATGGGCAAGGTAATGAGTGCATTTCTTATCAAGCATTATTGCCTCCTCCTTTGTTTCCCCTTCCCATCCTTTCCCATCTTCCCTCCTTCCCCCCCCCCCTCCACATGAGATTCTTGGATCAAGAATTTAGTGTTTGGTGATTGGCTTTAGAACATTGACTGGGCTCTACTTTGCCATTAGGATTAGATGTATTAAATCCTAATTTTCATATATCAGTGCATATAACTACATTGACAATAATTAGAGAATTTCAGAAAGATATTTGCAATAAAGTTCTGGGTTCTTTTAGGATGCTAATTATTTGACTATTTTGAGAGAAGACACTAGGTTTTACTCATTTTAAATGTTGTAAGTGAAAAATAATCAAAATACATTTTTAAATGAATAGATACCATTGTATTACCAAATACTCTTTTTCAGAAAATTAGGTAATGTATCAACACAGCTTTTTGACATCAGAGGAGTAATTTTTTACTTTTATCTATTTTCAGTTTTCTAGAGCAGAATGCTTTTAAATTAATAAATTCAGCCTTAGACTTGACATTCTTAAGGTTATCATGAAATTCTGTGAAAAATGTTGTCAATACTTAAATTTTATGAAAATGTTCATCAGCTCAAGGAAAATACACATCTTTCTTCAATGGTTTTGTTTCAGAAGGAAGAAATGACAGTATGATGTTAAGAGTATGTTACTTTTCTTGTTTTGTGTAATGGCTTCTGCTTTAGCTGTTGATGTTTGTTACTGCTTTGCATTGTTGTGAGGGAGCACTGAAGAAGAGATCATATCTGTGCCAAATTCTTATATCACAGGAACTTTGTCATGTTGTAAAGGTGGTGTTTGTGGAGCCAGCTTGGTTGTGTATATATTTACAGGAAGTTTTAGTAAGATTTTCCATTGTTCATGGTATAGGTCACCTTCAGTTCATGTTTAAACAGGTTTTAATATAAATAAATGTCCTCTACCAATGTATAACTGCTTTTCTTTAAAGGAAATAATCTGTTCATATTACCAGTAGTGTGTGTAGCAGTTTGTGTATGGCTACGTAGAGTGTATATTATCTCTTTTCTTCCTCTCAGCTGCTCCACTGCCACAATTAGTCTGAGTATTGCTCAGCCGCAGCTGCTGGGTGATTATGAACCATCGAGCTCCTGTCTAAACTCAGAGGCAGATTTAGCAAAAGGAGCTATAGTAACAGCAGAGAGTGAGAGAAAAGAGCTAGCATTGCTGCCAATATCATTTTAACATGTCTGTATGCCAGAGGATTGCTGGCGGCAGCAGTACTACTGTTGTCTTGAAGCTGGCAGACTTGATGGCAATATATCCTAGTTTGAATTGGGTTTGCCTTTAAGATCTTGAAGGCCACTCTGTGGAAGATGGAGAATCCTGTAGTTTCAGCATAATGTACTGAGTTGCGGGTGGGCTGAATTACAAGCCTCAGTGTTTCAACTTCTTCCCAGCCCCAGGTAACACTGCCCTTCTGTTTCCTGTTTGAGTGTACAGTCAGATATGACACTAAAGGTTCCCTAAAGCCTATACCATTTATTTCATTCTACTTTAAGCTGGGATTCTTTTTTTTTTTTTGTCGGTCATGGAGCTTGAACACTGGGCCTGGGCACTGTCCCTGCGCTCTTCAGCTCAAGGCGAGTGCTCTACCTCTGGAGCCACTGCGCCACATCCGGTTTTCAAGTGATTTATTAGAGATTAAGAGTTTCACGGACTTTCCCGTCCAGGCTGGCTTTGAACCACAGTCCTCAGATCTCAGCCGTCTGAGTAGCTAGGATTACAGGCGGGAGGCATCGGCACCTGGCTGGGATTCTTTTTTTAAAAAACTTTTTAGCTGTATTTTTTTTTGGTACTGGGGATCAACCCAGGATGGTACACTTGCTAGAGCACTTTGCCATTGAGCTACATCCCAGTCCTAAGCTGGGATTTTTTTGGGGTGTGTGTGTAATAGTTTTAAACACAAACTATGGGTGTCTACATGAAATTTAAATGGAAAAATATTTAACTAAAATTATACATAAGCATACTAAAAAGCCTTAAAAAAAAGTGAAGTAATTCAGATATTGACCAAAGAAATCAAGTGTGACTGTATTAATATAAAATAGAGTGTAGATCCAAAACAGTAACTAGACAAGGACATTCTAAGCTGGGATTCTTAACAAAAACAGCTGTTACTCTTTGGAGAGTGTCAGAATTGCTAATAAGGAATTTCTTTGGACTTCCTACTTTATCACAGAAAGACCCCCAAGAGACTTGATATTTCTAGAATCAGTACATACAGCATAACTTATCCCTGTTGCCTGAATTTTTCAACTAGAAATCCTAAACTTTTTCCTTTTTTTTTCTTTTCTTATTTCTTGTGTTTG